AGTTGGATAGGTAGGCATGGATGGGGACAGGGGAGTCCTAGCAAGGGGCTAGCAGACACAATTGCTCAGAGGGAACTGTGAGCAATTCCATGGAGCTGAAGTATAGAAGGACGAGGGATGGCTGGGGTGGAGGAGGGCAGTGTGCTGGAGCGCTAGCTAGCGAAGGAGATCTGTGGCACTTTGCTTGTTAACCCTATTGACTAAATAACATCTTAGCAGGGCTGCCGTGAACCTCTCCTGTGCATGGGCTGCACTGGTCATCTCCAGTGGGCTTTTAGGGGCACTCTACCTGACAGCTCAGCATCTCAGTTCCCTCCCTCTGAACTGCAGTCAGCGCTATCACTAACCAGCTAGGTCACCTTGGTAAAGTAACTTGGAACTTTCCAATATGAACATTTTTGCTCCTGAAATGAGGGACTATATGATTTCGAGCTCATTCTAGCTCTCATATACCCTGATGCAATCTTTGACAAAAGGTACTGTGAGTCTCCAGGTAAATGTCAAGCCACCTGGCCAGGGAGGGAAGAAGCAGTGTGACAAGGGAAAGGACATAAGGGTTAGAGGCAAATAGACCCGGTGGAAAGCACAGCTCTTGGTTAGGTGATCTCAGGCCATTTATTTATTCATTTCTAAGCCTCAGTCTCTTCTTTGGGATGTGCTAATATCTACCTGGCAGAGTTCTTGGGCCAGCTGGAAATATATATAGCACCCCCAGTATGATAGATTGACCTCAATTTAATTATTTGTGGAACTGAAGGGCCCAAAGCCTAGAGAAATTTATTGAATGTATTTTTCATGAGTGTATATAGTGGGGAGCTACATTTCTCAAATTTCATCTTAAAACTCTGATCTTAAAACAATATTAAGTCAAATATGGTTTCTAGTTCTTTCTGTGGCTGTGAATAATCATGGCACTTTGGGAGCTTAAATGACAGATCTGCGGCTTTCTGGACATCTGGAGTTGATGCCAATTGGGCAGAAGTCAGAGGGAAGTTGGATTCATTAGTTTAATAGTCTGTCTTGTGGAGCTTTATTTTATCAAGTAATTTTCTTCTAAATGTGTATTTATTTGTGTATGGTTTGTTTCTACAGTCACAGATGCTCACTGAGAGGGGAAGATTTGAACAGACAGTGGCTGTCTCCCCAAGCCCATCTCCAGCCAACCATCTACCATGCCAAAGGACTCCTCTACTACCTGGGCAGCATTGGTCGGAGTCCCATGGTGAGTCAATCACTTTCCTCTGCCTCCATACTCTTGGCTGATTCCTTCTACTTTCTGGAAGGCAGATTATACTCTTCCAAGGCAAAAAACCAAAACCAAAAATAAAGGCCAAAGACCTACATAGGACAAGCTCAAAAGGAGGAGGATGTACTGATTTCTCAGGGCTTCTGTAACGAACTATCACAAACTGGGTGGTTTAAAACAACAGAAACTTAGCTCACATTTCTGGAGGACAGAAGTCTGAAATCAAGGTGTTACAGAGCCATGTTCACTCTCGTGGCTCTAGGGAAGAGTCCTTTGGTCATTCCAGCTTCTCATTGATGCCAGCAATTTCTAGCATCCCTTGGCTTGTGTCAGCATAACTCCAATCTCTGCCTCTGTCTTCACAAGGCCATCTTCCCTCTGTGTGTGTCCATATCCCAATTTCCTTCTACTTGTAATGACATCAGTCATTGGATTAGGGCCCACCCTAATCAAATATGGCCTCATCTTAGCTTTATTATATCTGCAAAGATCCTATTTCCAAATAAGGTCACACTGACAGGTACCAGGGATTAGAGCTTCAACATATCTCTTTGGAGCACACAATTTATCCCACAACACAGGCAAACAATCAATTTAGTACTCATTGGTAAAAACTGGGCAAGAAATTGTATTTTATCTTATTTCCTGGGCCTATATTTTTCTGATATTTCAGTTATTGAACAAGAAAGAAAATGTACATGTCTATTAAATAGTGTTTGGGAAAAATCCTCTAGGTGTTTATATCCATGTTCAACTAATACTTGTTACATTCCAAAGATGATTTTGGGATGTTCTAAGTATTTTTTTCTCCTAAGCCTCTGGTACTATACAATTTATTTAAAAAAATAGACTATTGGAAATCAGAGACCTTGGTTTGAGATAAGAAAGAGGAAATGGCAGCAGAGTAACCACATGAAAATGCTCATTTATTAACTACAAACTGTAAACACACCTGTCTGTAAACTGTGGAGGGGCATATGTCCAAACTTAGAGTCCTTACTTTACCTAAGAAACTTAAAATAGAGTGGAGAAGCTGGTATATTCGCCAAATCAAATAATTATCTCTATCATTAACCACTTTTTGAGCATCTACTGTGCAATCAAAGAAAATAATATTCAATAAATATTTAATGACAAAATGGATGAATATGTAACATAGAATATTATTTAAATCTCCAAAGAGATTAAGTAAAGTGATTTCTATGAGGTCACCCTGAGTGTGTGGCAGAATCGTGATTCAGTTCTGATGTGTTTTTTCACCCTGAAACTCAACCTCTCTTCATTACTTACTCTTGAGAGATATGCCAGGGGTCCTTAAGACTATCCTTAGGTGCAGTGATTTCCTAGCATGACTCACAGAACTCAGAACAGCCATTATATTCACAATTATGGTTTATTACAGTGAGAGATCAAAATCAGTAAAGGTCAAAGGCACATGTGGCAGAGTTCAGGAGAGACAAGGTTCAAGTTTCCAGATGTTCCTCATCCAGTGGAGTTGTATAAACAGTACTTAATTCACCAGCAACAATGTGCATTGCCAACCAGGCTCACCTAAGCCTCGGTGTCCAGGGTTTCTACTGGGGGTCAGCTATGTAGCCATAGAGTGCCCTATGTGGCTGACCTTAGTTACTCAGGCTCCAGCCTCTCCAGAGATCAAACTGATACCTCACGGCCCAAGACTCCCACCAAAAATCATATTGTTACCATCAACCACTTGGCATGACCCACATCCTCAGGTAAAGAAAGACATTCATCCAGCAGAATATTCCAAGGGGGTAAAGTTCATTTTCCAGGAGCCAGTCAAGGAACAGAACTTCCTAAGAATGTGGAAGGTTTGAACATCCTAGACTTGCTGAGTTAATCCTTTATTGCACAGAGAGCAAAGCACATTTTTTTCTCTTAAGAATCCTGGTTCTGCACTGGTTAAAATGTATGATATTTTCATGCTGATCTGGCCTTCCCTCAATCCTAGAAGGCACTGTTAACTCTGCTATCTATCCACTACAATCGAGCTCATGGCCTGCATAGCAGGGCACCAACCTCATGGTTGAAACTTGGAAAAAGGGTGTCTCTCTGAGTAGGAAGCTTTAGGCTCCAAGAGGAGAGAGAAAAACGTAAAAGGGAAGAACTCCCTACCTGATACACATTTAAATACACACACACATTCAACCCACAACAACACAGGATTCCTCTCTGCTCTGACAACCTCTAATTGAAGAGCAGAACATTTATTTTAAAGCATGACAGGTGAAAAGCTTGTTTAAAAATATAAATAAACATTAATTAGCTATAAACATGACAGCCACAGACTTGTTTCCTGCTGGGACCATCTGAGAGGTGGGTGAGAAACAGCTGAGAACTAAATGCTATTCACAGTGTTACAAAGCTCTCTAATGGGCTTAACATCACCTTTTAGCTACCTACAAAGCTGTATTGTATCAGTCTCCTGCTAGCAGCAGAAGCACTGCCACTCACTCAGCACACAGACCTGTCCTGCACCAGGAAGATTTCTACTGCAACAAGATTGACTCTTGGGCTATCTGGTTGGAGACTAACTGTGACTCTGCTCAACCTCTAGCTCTTATTATTAAATGAAATATTTTCTAAAGCACTGGGAGGGCACTGTATGGTTGCTAGGAAATCACACCTGTTCTAGATGCTAGTCAGGCATTTGCCCATGGGTGGGTGGATTAATATGAACTCCCAGAACCAATGAGAATGTGGGGCTGTGAGAGAAAGCAGTACTCTGATACTGCCGGGGACTTCTAAACACCAGACAAATCACTTAGTTTATAGGCAACATGGCAATATTCACATATTGTTTCGTCCATCCACCCATTCACCCATCTGTGTGGTAATCCCATTTGTCCCTTCTCTTACACCATGTGTGTGCAATTGCTGTGCTAGGTTCCAGGGATACAAAACCAAATAAAAAAAAAAGATTGTCCATTTCTTTGAGGAGCCCACAGTTTACTTTGGTAGAAAGTAGAGTCAGACGTAATGGGTGCAGTGTGCACCGTCTAGGGGATGGACATGCTTGAAGCTCTGACTCGGGTGGGGCAAGGGCAATATATGTAACCTAAACATTTTTACTCCCATAATATGCTGAAATAAAAAAAGAAAAAAATAAAGTAGAGTAAGGTCTGCAAAGAAACTACTGTGGTACAGAACAGTAAATACTGTAATGAAGGCCCATGTGCAGTGTTATAGGAGCAAAGATGAGGGGTTGAGTCATTTTCTCTCAGGCTTGTGGAAAAGCCGGAGAGAGTGGAGGTGCCCTTTGAGCTGGACATGAAGGACGAGGCAGGGTTTCCCCTGGACTTGACTCTAGTAAGACTGAGAAATATTTTTTTCCCCTCAAAGGATCTCTTAAATCTTCTGCTTTGTGAAACTGGAAATCCACGGAGTTTTCTATGTTTGGAGTCACACTGCACAGTGCAAAAAAAGCAAGCTTTTCATTTAACAGGTGGTAGGTACTCATAACACACAGACCTTCTTATGACTCCTTCACTATGTTCTTGAAGCCAGATTTTCTGTCTCTTTTGTTTGTTAAAGAGCTTAGATCTTGCATGCAAAAGCCCAAACACATAACAAATTTTGGTATAGTCATACATTGGACTATTATTTAGTAACCAAAACCAAAACTCAAAAAACAAAACAAAACAACAAACTCCTGATACAGTCAATAACATGAATGAATCTCAGAAACATTATATTGAATGGAAGAACTAGACACTAAAGACTACGTACTCTATGCTTCTATTTATGTAACATTTAAGAGCAGTAAAAGTAATTTATGAAGACAGAAATTAGAACACTGTTGGCTCTGGGGAAGGGGATTGACTAATAAGGCCAGGAGGGAACTTTCTAGGTTAGTGGAAATGTTCTATATCGAAGACTTAGTTACACCAAAACTCGCTGAACTGTGTATTCAGGATCTGGGCCTTTCATTCTAGGTACACGTTTACCTAAATACAGAAAATTAAAAACAAATTAGAGCAAAGTCATGGAGATTTAAAATGCAACTAGGAGACAAAGGGACTGCCCCAAATCAGACTGACCAACATAGAGACGTGCAAGTCAAGTCACGGAAAACATCTTTGCTGGGACAGAGTAGAAAGGTGGTGGAAGGAGATCTGTTTAGAAGTCAGAAAGATCCAGCCGGAGAGAAGGCAGGTAAACAGAGAAGCCCAAAGAAGCAGACAAGCTTTACAGTCAGCTAGCAGGAGTCATTGAATCTGTTTCTCTTTGTGAAACTCCCCATAAGAGCCAGGAGGCAAGGCTGGTGGCTGAGGGGGCAGTTGGGCATGGCTTTGGAGTGAGAGAAAGCCCTTAGGCTGTAGCAGGCTTGCGGGAAGCTGGGTGGACAGCTTCTTTTGACCTGCCATGTTGCAGCTGGCCTGGTCCTTGTGCTGCTCTGAAGAATTAGGGCTTCACAATCAGGAGAGGTATTGATTCCTATCCTCTAGGCTCTCCCTGTGTGAGTACACGTTGGTAAAGGGATTTCAGTGCTCTTTGAAGAGCTCATTGATTTCCATTTACAACCCACACAAACCAGGCTGCCTTCTGCCAGGAGACAGGGCCAGCATATTTTGGTTTTGACTTTCTCTGGGGCCCAGTGGAATAGAATTTTTAGCTACTTAAATGATTTTCCTGGTCTTATTTTGTCCCTCTGGCCTATGTTTTTTGGTTAATCAGCTTCTTTTAAAAGGGACACAAAAGGAGAGGGAAGAAAAGGAATGGCATGTCCCTTCCTATAACCCTTGTCTCCAAGGACCTCAAGGTATTTTATACACACTATTCTATTTCCACTTTATTCCTCGGAAGTGGTAGAAGAACAAGTGCTGTTTTTGCTCATTTTCATTGACTCATGCTAAGGTACTAAGTCTACAATTTAACTTTTTTGGCATTTGAGGATATGGTAGAAATAACCAAAAACCTTGCTGCCATGATGGGGGGAAGGGATAGAATGCCCG